CTCTCTCTCACTTTCTCTCACTCTCACTCTCTCACTCACTCTCTCTCTCAATGCATTAAGTCTGATGTCCTTATTGTTAATTCTTAAGCATATTAATATTGTTGATGTAATACTTTACCCATACACGGGTGAATAGACACAAACTGACAGGTATAAATAAATACCAAGTCATGAACCAGCAAGTGCCGGTACTATCTGCCATATATCTGGAAAAGAATGAACTGTTTTCATTACTCATTGCAGCATATGCAGAAGTCTTCCTCCATGTCTGTTCTTGAGGTCGACTAAGCTGTTACAGCATGCAGGACATCTGAAAACCATGGTGGAGCACCTGACGGTATGTCATAAAGGAATGTAATAAAGGAATGCATGTTCAGTGGCCTTTTTTCCATTGCATATAATGTGTTGTTGGGTGATTCTCCGTCTGAGTGACGAAGGAGCCATGTAAAGCATATTCTCTTATTTTCATTCTCAGATTGCAGGGCAGGATCTTCAGATGAATCTCTGTGACACAAGTTTCCTATTAACAGCCTTGTTTCATGCTGCCTCTGATTATGGTGTTAAGAATATTCAAGTCCAGCAGTGTCTTGCACCACTCAGGATGGCAGTTTTGGTAATGCAATGTGTAGTTTAGATTATTTCCTGTTAACAAAAAACAAAAAAAAAAAAACTTCTAGTTGATATATTGGACTGATATGTAATGATAGCTTTAAATGTTAGTCTTGTTCTTAAAAAAAATGTTTGTTTATTCTTTCATTTGCAGTACCACTTTGAATCTTTAAAGAGTATCTTCAAGTGCCACACAGAAGTTATTGGAATGCACAATTGCTTGCAAGAATTTTGGAGTTTCCTCAAATGCACAGATGTGATAGATACCAGTGAAGTGACACCCCAGGAAGCTGGTATTAGATGTCTTGCCCTGCGGCTCAAATCCGCTGGCACTAACCTATCTAAGATTTCTCCAAAGACAAGAATTTGCTACTTCAGGTGGCTTTTAGCATACATAGGACAGCAGCAAATTTATGGCAGGTTGCCCTTCTTTCCTGACCCAGAAAGCACTCTCAATAAAATAAGTGGAGAAGACAAAGAAATCCTCTTGACATGCAGGGCTGAACTAGAACTCTTGCTGAAGACATTTGAAACTTCAAGATTGACAAAAGCGACTTTTCCAGATGTGGAGGAAAGGTCATTACCTCTGCAAACTGTCCCTACTGCTTGTGTCCTTTTAATACTTTATACTCATGAATTGGCAGAAGGAAGGCCAGGAAATAGAGAAGATAAGAAGAGACTGGATCTTAAATACATTGATCTTCTCATACAGTGCCATTATGCAATGTGTAAAGCTTGTGAATTGAAAAAGGAAGTTGGTGCAGATGAAGTGAGTTCAAGAAACAAGATTTGGAGCAGAAAATCTTATTCTTTAAATAAGAATGAGGACGACACAGATATAGTGGAACTGGAGTACCTGGCAGAGTTGAATCATAAATTGTTCACTTTTGTATCAAATGCACCATCAGAGATTCTGTCTAAGTTACCGAAGGACACATTGTTGAAATGTGAGCCAGATCTCAAAGCCGCGATATCATATAAATTGAAAAGTAAATAGACAGTACTTTTGTACAAGAGAATTAAAGAATATATTTATTTTCCTAACTAAAAATGTACTTATGATTCAATCCACCCTTCACTACCCTTTACAGTACCTTCCTATAGTGCTACATGATCTTGGATGTCTAGCACATTTATTTAGCTTTTTACCATTATCCATTAACCATAATGATAATAAGAATAGTGATGATAATGATAATAAGAATAGTGATGATAATTATAATGATAACAGTAAGGATAATAATGATGGTATTGATAATAATAGTAATAGATAAATAAGAACAAAAATAATGATAACAATGATAAAAAGACAATGATGAGGACAATGATGATCATAATGATGACTATGATGAATTATGATTATGATGATGATAATGATAATAATAATAAATGATATTGATGAAGATGGTAATGATGATCATAATAATTGTAATAATGATGATAATGATAATGATAATAATAGTTTTGATAATGCCAATGATGATAATAATAATAATTATTATTATTACTATAATACGACAAAAGATGAGGATAATAACAATAATAATTGTAATGATGATAATTATGATAATTACTAAGATTGGCCTTGATGATAATGGTAATAACATTAACGACATTGAAAATTAAAGTGTTAATGGTATCACTACTGTTAATTAGTAATAGTAGAAGTAATGATATAATGATTATTATGATAATGATGATAAAATTGATCACAATAATGAAAAAATATAAACAATAATAATGATAATGATTATGATAATAATAGTTCTAATGATATTTATAACAATAATAATAATGATAATAGTATTGATAATAATAACAATGATAATAAAATAAAATAATAATGAATAATATTAATGATAATAATGGGTAATTATAATGATAATGATAATAATAATAATATTAATAATGATAATAAGTATTGTTATTATATTCATTTTGCTATAACTATTATTATGATGATAGTAATGATAATAAGAACAACAATAATAACATAAATAATAATATCATTGCCCCTGCTAATTTTGTCAACTCACAAAAGAAATGTAAAAAAAAATGACATCCATTTTTGTTAATACATAAAAGATATCGACACCCAACTGGCAGTTCTCTATTACGAATTCCGATTTAGTAATGAAAGATATGAAAAGTTCCCTTTGTGAAATGAACAGCAATGCCATTCTAGCGAGTTCCCACTAAGATTTTAGTTCCCTGAGTGAAATAAACAGTAATGCCATTCTTGAGTATTTTGTTATCTAGCCAGGAAAAAAAAAAAAAAAATTACTCTATATTTTGCGTTTTTTAAGTCCTTTTCAGAGGGAGAAAGAGGAAGCTTTTACTCCTCTGTCTACCGGTGTTCAAAGTCCACTCAAGCGGTTTTGCGGAAATATCAATGACAACAATGGACATGTAACATCAGTCCCGCACAATGCTTTGTCGAGAGTGGATGTGCGCGGCGCTGCTCTTTCACCTGCGAGCATATGCCATCGAAGGTAAGTAAAAGAAAGAAAACATTGCTATGGAGGAATCTGGAACTTTATTTATTCATTATTATTATTTTGTTTTTGTTTTTGTTATTCTTCCTTTTATTTTTTATGCTTTTCATTATTGTCATTATCTTTGTTATTAACTTAAGGTATCATTGTTATTATTATTATTATTATTATTATTATTATTATTATTATTATTATTATTATTATTATTATTATTATTATTATTATTAATTATTTTTGTTTTATTATTATTATTATTATTATTATTATTATTATTATTATTATTATTATTATTATTATTATTATTATTATTATTATTATTATTATCATTATTATATTATTATTATTATTATTATTATTATTATTATTATTATTGTTATTATTGTTGTTATCATTATTATTATTATTATTATTATTATTATTATTATTATTATTATTATTATTATTATTATTATTATTATTATTATTATATTATTATTATATTATTATTTTATTATTATTATTATTATTATTAATTATTATTATTATTATTATTATTATTATTATTATTATTATTATTATTATTATTATTATTATTATTATTATTATTATTATTATTATTTTATATTATTATTATTATTATTATTATTATTATTATTATTATTATTATTATTATTATTATTATTATTATTATTATTATTATTATTATTATTATCATTATCATTTTTATTATTGTTATTATTGTTATTGTTATTATTATTATTATTTTATTATATTATTATTATTATCATTATTATTATCATTATAATGATGATATTAATCATGATAATAATAATGGTGATAATGATGACACCTATCAATATTATTATAATTGTCATTATTATTATCACTATTGTTATCATCCTTGTCGTTATTATCATTATCATATGATTATCATTATCATCATTATCATTATTATCATTATTATTGTTATTATTATCATTGCTATCATTATTATGGTCATTATAATTATTATTATTGTTATTATAAACTTTATTATCATTATTATTGTCATTATTACTATTATCATTATTATTATCATTATTGTCATTATATTATCATTGTTATTATCGTTATAATATTATCATTACTATTATTATTATCATTATCATTATCGTTATCATTATTTTTATTATCATGATTATTATTATTATTTTCATTATTATTATTATTATTATTATTATTATTATTATTATTATTATTATTATTATTATTATTATTATTATTATTATTTTTGTTGTTGTTGTTGTTGTTGTTGTTATTGGTATTATAATTATTATCATCATCGTTATTATTGTCATTATTATTATTATCATCACTATCACTATGCTGTTATTCTTATTATTAATGTTCTCTTTATTACTATTATTATTATCATTATTATTATTGTTGTTGCTGTTGTTGTTGTTGTTGTTGTTATAATTATTATTGTTATTATTATTATTATTATCAATATTATTATTATCACGGATATTATTATTATTGATATTATTCTCATTACCATTACTATTATTATTATTATTATTATTATTATTATTATTATTATTATTATTATTATTATTATTATTATTATCATTATTATTATTATTATTATTATTATTATTATTATTATTATTATATTATTATTATTATTATTATATTATTATTATTATTATTGTCATTATTATTATATTATATATATTATTATTATTATTCATTTTATATTATTATTATGATTATTGTTATTTATTATTATTATTATTATTATTATTATTATATTATTATTATTATTATTATTATTATTATTATTATATTATTATTAATTAATTATTATTATTACCTATTATGGTTACTATTTCATTATTATTATTATCATTATTATCCTTTTTATTGTCATTATTA